GGTTGCACAATCGATCTATTCCCAATATCTCAACCTGGCCATACCTTCGACCGCTCTCGCTTCTACGATGATCTTGTGTATCCCACATCACCTTCAGATCCAGACGCACCGATTTCCCTAGCATCCACGACCAAAATCGCAAAGTCTGGCGAAGGCATCTCCCTCCATAAACCCCCCCCCCCCCTCTCCCCTCCCTCCACTGCCTCGACTTCTCTTCTACCAGCCCTTGTCGAACCGCTCCCCGCTGATCCCAGACTATGTTCTTTTCACAACTCGGAATCCTTCACCCATTGTTATTCCGGTCGGCTGTCGCTCTCTGAAAGCTCCAGCGAGCTTTTGCCCGCTTTCTCTCCGCATCAGCTGCCGCGCCATTGCCCTCCTCCTCCTTCTCCTCCTCCTCTTCTCTCCCGCTAGCACTCTACGGCGCACGCTCTCCCCATTGCGCCGTCATACGCTCTAGCGACCACGAATTATCCCTCCCATCCCATCTTCTCTCCCCCGCTCGTCGCCAATTCAATTCGGCCCCTCACACCACAAAGTCTCCATCGGGGCCACCACGACGGTTGACAACGGCGCGCAGACAGCCAGCGAGTTCCCTGCCCTTTTCTTGAATCTCGCGTCCTCTCTTTGCCTACGCGATACGCGCCGCGCTCGCTGTAGACACAATGTCACCACGTCGATCGTCGCGGGCCCGCACCACCCAACCCCCGCCAAGTGTCGCGACAGCACCGAGCGTCTCCTCATCCTCCGTCTCCTCTGGCCGCACCGAACGTGGCTCACGCCCGAATGGCAAACAGCCATCGCCACAAAAGTCATCGACCCCGCATTCACTCTCCTCTGAAGAACCCGAAGACGGCCCTCGCGGTGCGCAGCTCGAGCCACCGCTGACCCGACGCCGCACTCGCGAGCAAGACCACGACGAAGACGAGTCCACAAAGTTGGAAGACGACCTCGATGACGAAATGGCCGAAGAAGACGAGGTCACACGCTGCCTCTGCGGCTTCCAAGAGTACCCCGGTCCGCCATCAGATGCTGGCAAGTCTGCATCTGCCCTGTCTGATCCTGATGCTCAAGGTGACGATCTAGGTGGTCTGTTCATCCAATGCGACATCTGCAAAGTTTGGCAGCACGGCGGTTGCGTTGGCATCATGGAAGAGGCTGCTAGTCCCGACGAGTATTTCTGCGAAGGATGCAGAAAGGATCTTCACAAGGTCATGACGAGTGCAAAGGGGTATGTGAATCTCGCAATCCGTTTTCAACAGCATGGCGTTAGCCTGGGAAGCGAATTCCTCGCTAACGCGATCATCTGACAGTTGGAAATACTCTCGCTATATCCCGGTCTACGATCAACAGCAAGGCAAGAACCGCAAATCATCCATCTCAAAAGACGCCGATCGCCAATCTAGCGTGGGGGAGAAAGATCGCCACGAACGCAATGATCGCAACGACCGCAATGCACGAGCGAGCGTGGATTCATTTGGCAAGCGACGCTCCACAATGAATAGTCGAGCTGCCTACGACGAGGACGAAGTATTGCGCAAGGTACTCGAGGAAAGCAAGCATGAAGGTACCGCAGTATCGGAGAATGGTAATCGCAAGAAGCGAAGCCGTGACGACAGTGAAGAGTAAGATTGACCTGCTTTGAAAGCCTCACACAACAAACTACAGCGGCTGACAAGCTTTGCGGTAGGACAAAGTCTGAAGTCAAACGACAGCGCACGAGCTCACGCTCTCCCAGCGACTCACCGGTTTTAGAGTCAGAAGACGACAGCACAAAAGCTTCTGCGCCAAAGCAGAAACCGCGAGGCGCTGCAGCAAAAAGCCAGCGTGACAAGGAAAACCGTGAAAAGGAGCGCGAAAAGGAGCGCAACGACGCTGCAAACAGAAGGAAGGGAAGAGCGGAGCGAAGAAAGGGAGACGGTATGGCTGCCATTGTCTTCTTGTAGGAGTATCTGACTAACATTCAAAGAATTGGATGATTCTGAACCCACACCCCCGCCCGCCGTGGAAGAACCCACCATGCCTCCAGCAGCCGTCCAGTCTACACCGGCAGATACTACGCCCACGACTGAAATGAAGCCAGCTCCTGCGCCACGAAGGGGTGGCCGTCCTCCGCAGAAAGCGCGTGGGCGCTTGGGACGCAATCAGTATTCACGAGATACGCTTCCAGCCGCCAATGGCACGTCGCCCAAGGACGACATGGCACAATCGCCACAAGCAAACGCAACAAATGGCGCCAGTAATGGTCATGATAGCAGCGACGGCACAGCGGGGCACAAACCAGCCAAGTCAAAGAATTGGCGGCTGCAGAAGCTGTCATGGAATGACATTCGGCGACCAGCTGGGGCAATGCAGAATTACATTGCGCAGCGTCAAGTCGAAATGGCGGGCGAGAAACAGCCTTCCATGGCGCCGGCAGTCCAGCCCACCTCTGCAACAACCAACGGGACACTACAACCAGAGCTGGTGACGGCTAGCGATGGCGGAGACTTGACAAATTTCAAGAATCTCAGCACGACGCAAATGATGGATTTTCTCAGTCGGGATCTTGTACACTGGCAGCAGATGATCTCGGAACCGACGGATAAATCGCCAAAGCCGCGGCCATGACCTTTTTCCATGCCCAGCTTTTCGCTTCTTCTGTGTTATACTTAGACTCCCTTGTCTTCTTCTCTCATTTCATCTATGAAAAGGTCTCGGCGCATCGGGCACAGCCTACATGACCATGGCATGTATGGCATTTCTGGCGGCACTCTCATTTCAAAACAATGGCGTTTCCCGGTCTCGAATCAGTATTCTTTTTCACTTTTCTCGAGCTATACGTAGCGACGGTGGGTCTATCTACACTTGTACACGGATACCCTCCACTTTGTCTATTCTTTTCTTTCACGCACGACAGATAGTGCGCTGTGCAGGACAGTATAACGGTTCTTTGCATACGCTGAAGACGGGAGTAGGTCCAGTCGATGTGGTCGCCGGACGGGGGGTAAAGCACGCATAGCGTAGTGAAAGAGGGTAAACAAGGCAAAATGCAACAGCATCCAACACTTTTTTGAAATTTCCTCGTCGTCATCATCCCTGGCATTCTGGTCTCTCGTGCTTGAATCACTCTCCTCCCACCTCCAACATATCCCCCTTGTCCCCCTTGTACGCCTTGTACCCCGAGATATCTCAACCCAACCCCCCACCACCTTCCTCCCCCTTCCCCAACCCAACCTCCAACACCCCGATCCCAAACTCCCGTCCCACAATCTGTAAGATTACGTTTACGTTTTCTTCGGTCAAGACGGTGTATTCGGGCCACATTTTGGCGGGCAGTTTTTTGGTGTCCCAGTGCATGCGTAGCTGTTGGATTGTTTCGGGGGTGCTGGTGGGGGGCTTGTGGGAGGCCATGACTGTTGGGGGTGGGTGGGTTAATGAGGGGTGTGGGAGGGGAAGGGTGGATGGTAGGGGGGAGGGGAGGGGAGGGGGTACTTGGGGGGTCGATGGAGGCAGTGGGAGGGTGGAGGGCGTGGAGAAAAGGAAAGATACCATACATTCCTCACAATTCGGCGACGAAGCAATCGTAGCCGTGATGAGCTTGTTCAGCGATTTCAGCGTGTATTTGTCTGACGGGTCGAGGGCGAGGAAGTCGTGGCGGTTGGAAGGGGGAAGGGTGAAGAGCAAGGGAACTGCCATTTTTCTGCGAGCTCTTCTTCTTTTCCCGGCACTTGAGTCGTGAGTTGAGTCCGGAGGCGCGAGTGGAGTTGGGTGTAGTAGGAAGCAGAGCAGCCTTGAAGATTGGATGCTCGTTTGCCGATTTACCTGATCCGCTCGCCGCTTCAAATTTTTTTTCTTTCAATCTTTATTTTTTTTTTCCTCACTGCAAGTGCAGGTTTGCAGTATACGGTGCCGGCAGCAGTGGTGGAACTCGTCGTTGTGGATTCTTCTCGTGGGGTACCGGTACCGTTTACCCCGTCCGGTATGACTATATCATGGCACCTCGCACATGGCCCCTCGCACTCACACCCCAGCTGACCCCATCCCTACGTCAATCCGCGCGAAAAGTTGGAAGACGTGTGCGACGCGCCTGGCACGCTGGGGTTTGATACGACAGGGGCGGGAGAGGGGGATACGTCATTAGACAGGGGTGTGGAAGTCGTGCTTGTTTTGGTGTGATGTTTGGGTGGTGGGATTACCAGTTCTCGATGAAGCAACGGGGTATGTTATTGCAAGTTTGGGAGAGGGGTGGGGCGACCCGCTTCTATGTGAACGGCCTCTGTCTCTCAGGCCTTCTCAGGCCTATCTTGGCATACCTCTGTTTCTGTATACACTCGATAGCCTCATACACATCTCCCGCAATGGCTTCAAGTGTCTCCTTCACCTGCTTTCCCTGTGGCGCATAACGTGTGACCCCGCCTGCTGTACTCAATGTCATCATGCGCCACTCGTGACAATAATCAGTGTCCGTCTGGGTGGAAGCCTCTCTGTCAGTCCGTGCAGCGTCCCAGTCCAAGTTTGCTTCGTGCAAATGTTCCAGCGAAACGTAGTTGCCTTCGACGAGCTTGT